AGTTTACCCAGCTGGGCGTTGAATTTACAGAAGGTCCATCCCATCCTATATGAGCCACATGCTTTACATCCGTGGGTAAACCAATCTGCATTTCCGGCTCTTTCTCACTTTCTGCAAAATGGGAAAATTTTAAAGAAAATCATTCCCACACTAAATTCATGAGAAAGTTGTAATCAATTTTCCTGGAAAATTGGAGATGATCACGTACCAAATATTTTAGAAATGTATCTAAGACCCTTTAATAGGCGTTTCATTTTGTTTGGTGGCGGGGCGGCCATTGTTTCTTTAAAAAGTATATGTATCTGATCTGAACTACTACTACGTACGAAAAGAATGAACGTATATCTCGATTTTCTGTTTGGCGGATGGGAAAATGCTAAGAAAATGTCACTTTCTCATCTCTAGATTCATGCATGCAAGGTTGATGGTTATTGAGAAACAGCATGAATTGGGCTGAAAGTGAAAAAGGAAAAGGAAAAGAAAAGGAAAGAAAACTTGGGTGTTTTCCTTGGTGCAAAGTGAAAGTGATGGGAAAATTTGGAGAAGGAAAGGATCAAAAACAGAGGACTGTTTTGACAAATGCGTGGGTATAGGGAAGGGAAAGTTTTGTTGAAAGCAAGAGTTGGTGGATTTAATGGTGATGCTTTATTCATGGCTAAGGATGGTGAAATGTTAGCCGAAAATGACCGAGAATTTAGGGGTTGGAGTTGGAGGATGAGATTCTAAGTTTAGGACATGTCTCATTACAACGTCTTTTGTTTTATAGGAATGATTGGAGTTTGGAAGATTGTCTTAGAACTATATAAAATTTGATAAAATCAAACTAATATTGTTGAAGAGAATCTAAACCCCAATGTAGTCACCATCTATAACTCAAAACTTGTTTTTTGATGATGGTATGTTTTTTTCATAAGACGGTATTTGGACTTTTGACTCTACTAATCTCATGTCCATAAATATTGAATAAGGTTTTACTTATAAAAGTATACAGAAATAATCTATCAAAATTATTTGCATGCACCTAGATAACATTGGAAAGTATAAACTTTTTATTCTTAATACAAGATTCAGCCATAATTCTTGTTGCAATATAGTCTCTATTTCGTGTTTGCAGTTGTGTTATGTAGTAATAAGTAGTTTAAAAGTGTTGAACTAAAAATAAACAATTGAAATAAATTCTAAACTTATAGATTAAATTGTTAATCTAGATAGGTACTTATGCTTAGTTGCCTTTATGCATCCAAATTAGTATGTATGTACATTTATTAAAGAACATACATGTATATATATTTGTTAAAGTACATATATCACTTATTGTGTTCCTTCATCTTGAATGCATGTACATTCACTAAATGTATTGAGTGAATTTGAGTAGTCAAGCACACCGAAAGGCACTATAGTTTCTATAACCAAAAGGTTAAATGCTCATTTTGGTCCCTCAACTTTATCGGTTTGCACATTTTTGATCCCTAAAGTATTTTGTGCACATTTTTTATCCCTCAACTCTAAGAAATGCATAACGTTTGTTCTTCCATCAATTTGGGTTGTTAATTCTGTCACGTGGCATTTTTTATTTTTTATTTTATAACATGGAGAAGACAACTTAAAAAGATGCTAATTTGGACTTCTTCTTTTTTTTTTTTTATGAGATGTCATCTTCCCGCACCAAAGCCCTTTCAATGGGTTCCACGTTACCTGCAAAAAACCACCAATAAACAGATTGAAACCATTTTCTTAGCAGCCAAACACCCTGTACAATTTTCTAGCCAAACAAATGGAAACCCACTAAAAATTGCTTCTTTGCCCATCAGTCACTGCTTCTATTCTTTCCATCGCCGGTGATGTTCTTTCCATTTTGAACATTAAAATAATTTAGACAATAGTTAGGAAATATGACGCAAAGGATCCCAAAAATCTCTCACAATCTGCAATTTGCCTAAACTCTTCGCAACAAATATATAACAAAAAAAAAAAAAAAGGCGGAGCTGGGTTTGGTCGAACCAAGTTGTTGGGTTCCTCAAACCTAGCAAATCTGGGTTCTAGGTTTGATGGAACCCAGTAAATTTGGGTGGGAGGGAACCCAACCTGGGTTCCTTGAACCGAGTAGATCTGTGTTCAATGGAACCCAGCTTGGGTTCCACCAAACCCAGCAAATCTGGGTTCCATCGAACCTGAGCTAGGTTCCCTTAAACCCAAATCATCTGGGTTTGAGGGAACCCAGCAACACAGAGGAGGAAGAGGAAGAAAGAAGAGGAAGAAAGAAAGGAAGAAGATGGATCGAAAGAGGGGAAGAAGATGGATCAAGAAAGGGAGATAGGGGTAGTAAGGTAAATTTGTGGTTTTTATTTTTTATTAAAAATATAAATACTAATCTAACTTGATATATGAGTTGGCATTGGACATGTCATCAAAAAAATGTCCAAATCATCACCTTTTTAAGTTGTTTTTGCCATATCATAAAAAAAATATAAAAAATACCACATAGGTGAAGTTAATGGCCCTAAGTGACAGAAGAACAAATGTTGTACATTTCTTAAAGTTGAGGGATAAAAAATATGCATAAAATACTTTAAAAACCAAATATGTGCAAACCGATAAAGTTGAGGGACCAAAATGAGCATTTAACCTAACCAAAAAGTACTGTAGTTGTTATAAAAGAGGAGGTTAAGAAGACTCTTATAAAAAGACAATTCTCATTTTAGT